GGGAAGGCCTCAATGCGCGATAGCGTTTCCGCCGCCAGCAATAATACCCCAAGTATTACAGAAAATCAGACAAACACAGAGCCTACAACTCACTTTGGTGCAGCCCTACTGGCCGGCCAGAACGTGGTTTCCCATACTAATTCAAGAAATCGGTCAACCAACACTGGAGCTACCCCAAGCGCCAAACCTGTTAATTCATCCTCACACCAAACAAGTGCACGGAAACCCAGCAATGTTCCAACTACACGTATGGACTGTATACAAATGTGTTTAAACAAGAGAGGATATTCTGCCAGAGGTGGCAAAAGCAGTCACGCTTGTTTTACGTTACTCAACTTCGTAGCAATGCGGACGACAAGTGGCACAGTTTGAAAATTATGCAACAAAGAAAGGGTTTACAGCAAGAGAGGCTTCACAACCTCAAGTGGCAGACTATTTGTGTTACCTACGCCAAAACAAACATTTAAAAGGTTCAGCGATATCAACATATCTTGCAGCTTAGCTCTGTAATCACCATGAGAACGGGTGTCAAATTGACAAGATCTCCAGAGTTACTGGCCTTACTACTGAGCTTTCGATTGGAGGACCAAAAGCGGAAGTTCCCGCGCCCAACTTGGGATCTGAATGTAGTGTTACAACACCTCACGAAAGTGAGGTCTATGAACCTTTGGAATCGACAAACTTTGAATTTCTCTCACAGAAAACATTGTTTCTGCTATCGCTAGCCAGCCACAGCAGCAAGAATGTCTGAAATTCACGCTCTGGATTACGCGAGGATACAGTTTGATGACAATCATAACACAGCACCTCGGATTAAGATGGGATTTCATTGCAAAAAATCAACTGCCAGGTCAACCAGACAGATTATTCCACATCCCGGCTATCCTCTATTCTCGGGATCACAAGATACACAAGACCTATCACTGTGTCGGTAAGAGCTCAAAAGTTTATTTTCATTGACGATCCAAAACAAGGAGAAGATTTCTCAAAGCGTTTATTCATTCCCTTATCAGCCCCTCTGAATCAAACAGAAGTGTCACGGACCACAATATCTATTTGGATAAGGACTGTCATTCTCCGTGCCTACAAGGCAGCAGGCTTGGACCCACCAACAGCATCAAATCCACATGAGATCAGGGCACTGGCCTCTACCCCTCGCCTCTACACGTAACTGTTCCTTGAACACGATTATGGAAGGATGCTATTGGAAATCTAACATGGTATTTGCTAATCACTACCTAAGAGACATCACTACAGAAGATGTCTCTGGCATTCACCATTTCGACCACTGGTCCTCGCTCAGCAACTGACAGTCCCTCCTGAGAAGCGTAAAATATTATCCTCACAAGATTAATATGTACTTTTATACATACTCATCTAGCTTATAACTCTACGGAGTTTTAGGGCTATGTATATATGTTCAACTTAAGTATTCAACCTTAAGCATATACTTGGATATAGTCATTTTCAGTGCCTCTATCAGAGTCACCTATATATATATATATATAATTTATATGTATTGTTCAATATATTCATAATGTAATTCCCCTTTAATGGCTTTATATAACCTATGGTTTTCTTTATACAGGAAACATCCTAAATCTAAGCCTTCATGAAGTTCCGTGAGGGGATATTACAGTATATCTATACAAAATCACTAATTATAAATCCAAAGTATTCTGTTACCCACCTCGTTCCGTAGGATGCTACAAGCAAAGAGCATGAGTCAGGATAAGAAAAAAATATGTAATTTTTAGAGTAAAATTGATATTTTATACTTATCCTGACTCATGAGGTTAGCCCTCCCATCCTCCCCACATAACACTTTGGATTTCCCTGTAAATTCAAGTGTTGGGCTCGCTAAATCAGGAGAGAGTGGAGCACATGGCCAGAGGGTGGCGACACCTTTTCCCGCCAGGGGAGACAAAGGGGAGCAACTCGTGGTGAGTACCAATTAGTGATTTTATTTTGAAGGGAGCTTCAAATAAGGAGATACAAGTGTTCCACTATGTTCGCAAGAAGAAGAAGACAAGCAAAAGAGCATGAGTCAGGATAAGTATAAAATATCAATTTTACTCTAAAAATTACATTTTACAGATGGATCCAATGATGGTGGCACAGTTGCTAGTGCCACTGTCACTGGTTTGAAAACCATGTCATCCAGACTATCAGATAGTTGTTCCATTTTCACAGCAGAAGCAAATGCTGTTTTAATAGCTCTCAGATATATCAACAATTAATCTGAATATGAACAGTTCATATTTTCAGACTCTCTTTCATGGCTTCAGGCTATTAAACATATGTCACGTGAAAATGCTCTTTTAATGCAAAGTGTTGCATTAAATAATGATCTTGCTCTTGGCAAATATAATATCATCTTCTGATCAGAAGTTACATCAGAGATCTAATGCAAAAGAAGTGGAACACCCAAGAATGAATGAATATGGTACATGGAATAAAACCAACTATCGGTAATCAGTCATTTCATGAGGACAAGTCATGGAGGACCCTCCATTCTGTACCCTTATGATGAAGGACTTACAGTCAAGCATGTCCTGCATTAACTGCATTGACTTTCCATCACAAGGGATAAATACTTCAAATCATCATCTATGATGGATTGTTTTAACAATATTAGTTGTCATTTAATTATTTAATAATACATTCCACATCATTCGCAGGATATTTATACATGTCACAATTTTAATTGTTAAATATTTGTTGATTATATATATTGGCTGCAAACAATCACCCAGAAGGATAATGTGAATACTACCGGGAAGACCATGCAGGTAGCAAGGGTACTCTAAACCCCCTTGGTCCGTGTGATGGAACTTTGGTTCCTTGGGATATATAACCCAGTTTTATAATGAATTGTTTTGCATAGTGATAACTTTTTGTGGTAATACACTAGGTTTAAATGTCATTTTGTGATGTGACTAGTTATTTTACTGTCTTTTGTAGAAGGTATTTAATGTGTTTCTTATGTATATCCTTTTGAAGGTACTGACATGGTTGAAAGACAGCCAATGTGGCTTAAAATAATTACTCTCTAACTCACTCACAAATAAAAGCATCTGATAGGTTTCCACTGTTTTTGTTGTCTCTTCAATGTTTCCACATAACAAATGAACACGTGCCCTATTGACACTGAAATCTTCATTGAGCACGGATAACAAATCAATGTTTAGAAATGTGTTTAGGTATTGCCCCAATGTGAAGAGCTGTGAGATGGTTTGTGCTTTTACAAGTACATTGTGTTGTTAGTCTATTATTAGAATTTGTCATGTATACTTCACAGTGAAGAAGACTTCACCTGAAAATCTAAAGATTTAGTTATAGTGTGATTACATCCATTTCAGGAATGGAGAATTATTTGTAGGTTATCGTTATCTTTTACCATTATTTCAAGCAATTCAATGTGGAATAAGTGGAACTACTTTTAATATTTTGATGAAAGAATTTCAAATTTTGCCAAAAATGTGTCACCAGCGGGGTTCAAACCTGCATTGTTTGATTTGAGGATGTCAAATTGGCAACCACAGCTACAGTGACACATGACAGTTTGACATGAAGTTTACAGCATATTTACAGCAATTGAGAAAAACCTTTGATGACGAAAAACATCAGGTGAACATAAATATCCTTGTTATTTATAATCCCCCATAAGCATGTATTTACAACATCCAAACAATTGATAAAATACTAGTTTAGCACCCCATGGAATTATGAACTGCAATGTACCATAAATATCAGCATGTGACGGAGCTTAAATCACATGCAACAATAATTAGGCGACTCAAATAATATTCATACATCGCACAAAGAGAACTGGTTTATTTTCCTAATATTTCCTGTAAGTGAATGTTTTGTCTAAGAGTAAAAAACCGGTGTAACAGGCCAAACTTTCACCCTGGCCAAACCTTCCCCGGGGAAACTTTGGCCTAGGACAAACTTTCCCCGGGGAAACTTAAGCCTGGGCCAAACTTTCCTCCCTAGGCTTAATCATCCCCGGGGAAAGTTTGTCCTAGGCCAAACTTTCCCCACCCTTGAATCAACTTTAAAGGACACTTGTTTCAAACCCTTGTTCTTATATCAAAAGGGGGAGAGTTACTGGCCAAGCTAGGCTTTTTCTTCCCAATCCTTGTTTTCGTGTTTATGTTCATCTTGAAGAAGTCAGAAACGAAAACAAGACATAGCTATTCACGTGAACACATTGATAATATATTCATGTTCATGTCAGGTTCCATTAACAGGTCATCTTCATCTTCATATACATGGTTCACATTTTGTTTCAATATCCTTACATAAGGTAAGATTAAAGAGACAAGCAAGCATAAAAGCAAAGATATTATATCATTACTATTATTTTATGTTATTGTTTATTTATTTTTATATTTTAATAATTTACTTATCCCCACTTACTCCAAATTGGCTTATCTCAAAATAATTACTATATTCGAAACTTTCACTAAACACTCAGTTTTTACTTCGATGTCCATATCCATTCAAAATTTCATTCCCTCACTCATGGCTTTAAATATGGCATTTACGTCGGCGACATCAACTTAACAGTTGGAAACAGACGTAAACATCAACACAACAACAACAACCCAACACAATATCTATATCAAATGCTATATCATCTATCATTCCACTATATTGAAAACAGAACAAAATATCCTAGTTTAAACAGGGGGGAAAGTTTGGCCTAGGGGATGGGAAACTTTAGCCTAGCCCAAACTTTCCCCTGGGTAAGAATATCCTGGGACAAAACTTCCCCGGGGAAAGTTTGGCCTAGGTCAGATTCTCCCCGAGGAAAGTTTAGACCGGGAAGACATGGCCTGCTGCACCGGAATGTGATTAAGTAGTCGAATTGTCCTCTACATCACTCCAATGTAGAATATCTCATTTGGGCGAAACACACTAATATATTTTAATCTTACTGGAAAGTGTGAGAGTTGAAGGTGTTGTATTAATGTGCACCACTATCTATCTAGATTTCAGATGGAAAAGACCTGAACATCATAATAATTGGAACAGCCGGTCAAGGGAAGAGTGAAACTGGTAACACAATACTTGGAGACAATACATTTGATGCACACGCATGTAATGACATTGTTACAAGGGTGTGTCAAGAAAAATACTCGCTTTATGGAACCAGAAAAATCACTGTCCTTGACACACCTGATATAAATCCAAGTACACAAAAAAGCTTTCACAAAGAGATTGAGGATTTCATCAAATTCCATCCACTCAGTGCAGTCTTGGTAGTATTACGCTGGAACATTCGTTTCACTCAAGAACAGCAGGAAATTTTGGCTATTATGGATGATGTATCCTCCCAAACAGACTTGTCAAATCATGCAACAGTAGTGTTTACACATGGAGATACATTTCATCCTGAACTTCGATCACACGATGAAAAGATGAACATGTTCAAGGAGCACATGGAGTCAGAGAAAGGAATCATTAAACAATTACTGAAAAAGGTTGGTGGCCGTTTCATCCTAGTCAACAACATGGAAATGTCCAGACTGAAAAGACAGAGGGAAGCTGCATTGATTATTGAACACATTGATAAACTCATGGTAAATACAAGCATTGTTGTCGAAGATGAAGATGAAGATGGTTTCAATAAAGTATCATATACAAACCAACCTGTATGCCGTAACAGGAGCAACGATTCGCTGCTTGGAATCTACAGTTCTGGCCTACCTGGTTGTTTTCCTCAAAATGCTGAAGTGTTTTCTTCTACCAATGGCTCCATTCTGATGAAAGATGTTCAGATTGGACAACGACTCATGTCAGTATCTTCCAATGGTGGAATCACATACAGCCCTGTTTACCTGATTGGTCATGCTCTTCGGATGTCACCAGTGAGTTTATCAACATCATCACCCAACAAGCTTCCATCAAACTTTCTCCAGACCATCATATCTACACTAAATATGACAACAAGATTGTAACTGTTCCATCAAGACAGATCACAATAGGAAATATCATCTTCCATGTTGACAGCAACAATAATAGATTAGTGGAAGATGAAGTGACAGGTATAGATGTCTGCACTGAAAAAAGGCCTGTATGCTCCTTTCACTATGTCTGGTACTCTTGTTGTTGATGGTGTGCTTGCCTCCTGCTATGTTGATGCAGTTCCACCCAACTGGGCTCATCCACTACTGTTTCCAGTCCGTCTACTCTACAATGTGTCTCCCTCTTCCCTTGCCTGGATATCCAAGTCTCGGACTGATGGAATACCAAACTGGATACACTGGATCATGGAAACATTCATGAAGACAAAATGCATCAAGTCTTAGACACACCCATCATCTTTTCCTACACTGAAGATTTCAACTGGTCTGTATTACAGTATTTAACTGTTGTACTGTGAAGACATCCTGAAGCTCACCTCACCTTGAATACTAACACACTTAATGAACTATAGGCAAGGTGTCAATATTGCTGCAGTGAAATTGCCCCAATTTTGTATTCTACCTGCAGTGCCATGGATTACTTCAGTACAATATCAGCTTTTGAATTACTTTACCCTCATATTCAGGATGACAGATGTATATAATGTACGTGTATTTAGTTAGAAGTAGATAACTGTATGCTTAATCACAAAAATGAGAGTTTGCACCAAATGATGATGTGTTGACTTTGTCTTCGGTTAGAGAAATATGTTTTAGTTCACTTGGCCTAATGCAGCATATGTTATATTTGGTATTACACTTCCTCAGTAAAGTACAAATTCTAGTACTCAAGCCTATTTAGAGCAATAGATTACTGCTGTTGAGGCTCGAAAAAACTTTAGTTAGCACAGAATGGGAACATATATCATATAATGCCAACAAGTTTCTGACAATAGCGATCAGCTGTACCAAAGTGCTAAGATTATTGGTATCATTTTAAATATATGAAGTAAAAACTGCAACTAATATAATATGATACGAACAATAAATAATAATAAAAAATAATGTGATATGAATAATAAAATAGTGTGATAGTTTCTCGTATTGGAAAACATTATCCTTTAGACAAAATTCCTTCTGATCATGGCAGACAATTTCTCTGAAGTTATATGTGGCATATTTTAACCAGATCCAGTGGTTTGGGAGAAATGTGTACAACTGATTGCTATGTCTGTCTTAGTTTAGAAGAAAATACACACACTAATCCCAGTATCTGCATACAAGAACAGCAAATACAGTAAAACATTTTGTCGAGTTATTGATTATCACAAATTTCACTCAAGAAGAATGTTATCACCTACTCATTCACACGCATAAGCTAAGAGGATACAATGTGTGTCTTTACTCTGAAAATATGTTTCCTAATCTACGGAGCACTATATTCCAGAAAAGATGGTAGTTTAGGTACCGTTCATAATTTATGGCTCGGGGTGGGGTCGGATATGGGGGTGATGATTGTTTAGGAGAAACATGTACAACACCGACCCAAAATCAATGCCCCCCTCCCACCCCCATAATTTTTAAGCTTAAGTGTTTAATATTGCTATGTACAAAATTGATGACACTCCCACCCCTAGTGCATGTGTACAAAATTTCAATGTTTTAGATAATTGTGCTATACTTTTGGTTGTAGAATAGATGTTTGTGTGTCATTTCATGTCTTTATGTGCTTAAGAATTGTCAGTGTATATAGCAAGCATATTCATGTGACATTGTTATATATATGTTGGTTTTGTGGCAAGTTAAGGGGGAGGAAGGAATTCCTTGATGAAGTTAGACAATGTTTTTCATTTTGTGTACCATGTTTCCTTGATATGCACATGGTTCTTTCTGTTATGATCTTTGCAATTAAATGTCAGTGTATATAGCAAGCATATTCATGTGACATTGTTACATATATGTTGGTTTTGATGCAAGTTAAGGGGAAGGAAGGAATTCCTTGATGAAGTTAGACAATGTGTTTCATTTTGTGTACCATGTTTCCTTGATATGCACATAATTCTTTCTGTTATGATCTTTGCAATTAAATATCAGTGTATATAGGAAGCATATTCATGTGACATTGTTACATATATGTTGGTTTTGATGGAAGTTAAGGGGAAGGAAGGAATTCCTTGATGAAGTTAGACAATGTTTCTTTTTGTGTATCATGTTTCCTTGATATTCACATAATTCTTTCTGTTATGATCTTTGCAATTAAATGTTAGTGTATATTGCAAGCATATTCATGTGACCTTGCTATATATATGGTCGGGTGGTCAGACTCGCTGACTTGGTTGACACATGTCATCGGTTCCCATCTGCGTAGATCAATGCTCATGCTGTTGATCCCTGGACTGTCTGGTCCAGACTCGATTATTACAGACCGCCACCATATTGCTGGAATATTGCTGAGTGCAGCGTAAAACCATGCCTTTTGTGTTGATACTGAAGTGACAAAGCAGATGATTTCCTATTGAGGTGTAGATGTGTCACAGAAACAGGTATTTACTATGAAAATCATTTTCATGTATGGATATATTTTACATCTATTTACTCTATGGGACATAAAGTGCAGCTCAAAAACCCAGTACCAGTGCTTGTGATAACAACTGACTACATTGAGGCTGTGATGGTTACATTGGTTACGTGTCATCATAATTTGATAATGTGCACGATACTTCACTGGAACATGTTTCACTGATTCAGGCTTGGTAAAGTTATAATTTCGCATTCAACACATTCAAGTCTGTGTATGAAGCATTAGCATGTTTTCTTATTTTTTTGTCACATATATTTGCTTCATACAAGATGTTTGACAAGATGTTAATCGCAAGTATAATTGCATAGAGCAACAAATTTGAAATGCAATTTGAATTTGGTTGTCCACAAATTACATGTATGATATTTAAAATCTTAGAGTGCCATTTAAATTACCTGTATTATCAATGAAGACAGGATTTCAACTTCTTTTCCATGTTCATTCAATGCAATGTTAAATGATTAACATAACATAACAGTCCATTTATCATACACATATTCCATGCACAATGCATGCTCGAAGCGCCCAAACAAGCTGATTATCATTACCCCAGATAACCCAATCTGCCTTTGAGGCACTAGAAGGTTATAGTCACATGACTTTATTCCACCAGGTACCCATGTTCTGCTGGTGAACAGAGGCAATTTTGAACAAATCACTTGCCTATGGTGAGACCACATGTATCACATGTGCTTCGTTGTGGGGCAGGACTCAAGTCTTAGAAACTCTCAGGAGTCAAGCTGCTTTACATGGTCACCCATGCAAAGACTTTCCACGCCTAGCGTTGCTTAACTTCACCTGATTTGTGACCTTAACTCTATGCACAGGACCATGTGCCACCACCACTGTGAGAGTTTATGTCTCTAACACTGAAAAGCTATGTAACCATGTGGATCTTAAAGGAGATATTTGATTTCTGATTTTTACTCAATATATCCTTTAAGCTCAAACAGTTGCATTTCTTGTTTTTTCAAGCAAGTACTAGCTTTTTTTTACTTAAACATCACTTTGAATACCTATGAGAAAGAAGTTGAAATCAATAAGTGTTTCATTCTTATTGAATATATTTGTATATCTTTTACTTCTTGTGTGACAATTATATCTTCAATATTTGAAATTAGTGTGTTGTTTTATCTTAATATTTTCATGTATATTTTTATGGTTGCGTTAAGTACACATTATGTTCTCATCAGTATCTTCTGTTGAGATTTAAATGTGATTATAATTTACAACATTGATTTCTTCAATAATTTCTGTTGAGGGCTGTTGAGAGTATCTCAGAAAGGCAATGATGCATAAAGCATGTGATGGGCTGTTGAAATTGATCTCATGTTCTTATGTGGTGTAAATCTCAATAATGTCACTGTATGTGTGATAACTCAGCAGAAGCTAATGAATGGATGATTGTTAATGAATGTATTTCTCTTAAAATTGCTATGAAATATTCAGATTAATTTTAATCTTAGGTGTAGTTTAGAATTTGAAGTGGAGTATGTATGGGGAAGGCACAAACATGTTAGGTTTCATTTATTAATTTCAATTTATTTAATACAATAAAAATGGCCTGCCCCATAAGAATTATCCAGGCCATATAAATTTACAACACAATACCCGAATAATTCTGCACTCAAACCACAAAGTACATAAAGGGATATATACAAAGGCATAAACTATATCTTATGCATAGTAGAAAAATATAAGCTACTAATAACTGTAAATGTAAATGAAGCATTTGGAATTTGCATAAAGTTTTCAAAAGAACTATTAGGATTGAAATATGCTTTAAGAGCTTTTTCAAATTTAGCAGTAATGTGTCAGTATAATATTTTACATGGAATATATTAACCAAACATAAAATGTAGATTGATTTCATATGTATGTGACATATAGTAAATATATACATATGGATAAAAATACCACAACACCCCACAT